CTAACGTCTCAGTAAGATTACGGCATGGCGATCTAGAGCATTTCAAACCATGGAAAGCACATTATTTTATTGTAGACGTTCAGGACTAAGCCTTAGAAGGGAAGGAGCCCCCGGGTCCGTGAGCAATCTTGGTTTTCCCCGGGGGACTTCCTCCCCCTCCTAGGCTTAGTCCTGACCTGCTGACTAGGTGAATATTACTTTTCGTAGACGTTAATGTCATCTAGTACAAGAATACATACATTACACAAAACACCTGAAGAAATAACATAGGAAAAAAGCTGATAGCAGCTCGTAACTTTAAAGGACTCCTTGAGCCAAATTGGCATTAGAGCAGACCGTGCACCGCAATGCCCCCTCTTACCGGATGAGACCCCAAAAATACTCAGTGGGTTCACGCTCTGCTGTGCTTTCCGCTCCATGTGTCATGGCAAGAGCTTTATTCTGCTCTGTAACGCCGGCCTACACCTTTGATTCCGACGAGCGTAGAAAGTGGCTTAGGTACTTGTGGTGGCTGTTCCTGCTACTACGTTTCTGTCTTCTTCTTCTGATGCTACCTTGTACAAGATTATCACGAACTAACGAGCAAGGAAACAAGCAAAACATCTAAACTAACAAATTTTATGCGATTGCGATTGCTCCTTCTTCTGTCGAACTCGTAGTTTCAGAGCAAATCACCGTTCATTCCGATGGACATCAACGTGTTCCGTGTGGCAAAGCGCGGTGATCGTTATCTGTATAGCTGGTACGCTGGTATTCACTGCATTCGATCATGATATTGAGCCGGAAAACATGTCTCAGGTGAGAACAAAACCGAACTCAGTTTAAAAACACGTCTCTAGGAATTGCAAATCAAAAGCCGGGAAAGTTCGGATATTCCACTTTCTTTCAACATTACGATTTCTCTTCCTCACCGTTTTGTTTGAATAACCGTAATTATGAAGTGTCAAAGTTTGTGAAATGAAGTTACGGTGAAAATCGAAACCTAACATACCATAACCATAACCTAACATCGAAAAAGTGAACCTCGAATAGATCAGTAGCCCATGCTTTCGGCAAACGATATGGAGATGAGCTATCACTCATCTTACCCTGTCATTCTCCTCAAATTATTAGATATTCAATCTCAGGATGAACAGTAATATAATATACAGGGGTGGCCAAAAAAAAGAGACACTTTGCCCATGGCGCACATCATCGAACTTTTCGTCGCACAGGGAGCCGATGTTAATGAAAGTTTTACGGCGAAATATTCCTTAGGTTCTTCCCCGTAAACAGAAGCAGGCCCTCCTTCACTGCCCCCGCCGTCTTCAGAATATGACGTCATCTGCCGCCACCGTCGAGCTCAACGAGGCTTACCGTAATCGCTCCGGCCTGAAGCTGCTTCATAATTTCTTCAATGGATTAACTGTTGAATAGCTTCCCAGAGACATTAGCTGTGACTGTGCAAAACCGCTTTTGACCAGCGTTTCAGGGACGTCGTAATGGTCTATGGTACCTCGACGACCTCGTTGAGCTCGTACCGTGAACCATGTTTCCGTGGGAAAATCTTCTGATGTCGTCGGTGTAGAAGGCTGTCATGTAACTTTAGATAGATTAGAATGTGCTCTTTAATACTGAGTTGGGGCAGTCGATTTGATTTAGCAAAGTGTGATTAATGCTGTCTGAAATGTGGAGTCAAGTGTCTCTTTTTTTTGGCCACCCCTGTATACCCGACCTACTACTGGTAGCGGGGAAAAACTTGAAAAAGAGTCCTGTTTCCTTGTTCACCAAGAAGTACGTATTTTGGCCCCCGTCCCTTCCATAAGGCAGGGTTCTTGTAAATAATTAGAACTATTTGAGAATCAGGTTGTGATGCCAGATGTCTCCCATGAGGAAGGTCTTCGGTCGATGTGTGACTATCAGTCGGAGGTGGAGATTGCTATCCTTTCAAAGCTCGTATCCAAGTGGGCCGCCTGCGTACCTTGCTGACTACAGCCCATCGCTTAATTTTCAGAAGTTCAGTCAAATTTTTTATTTCCTCTACAAGCTACGCCCTCAAGTGGCTGATGTTCGGTAAACTCGTGCGGCACCCTTTGAGAATATTTCCAAGACCCGCCAATTCGTGAAGATCCTGGAAAACATGCGTATAGGAGCAAGGGAGACAGTCTGCCGATGTGTTATTTCTGCCTCAATCCTCTTTGGTCAGAGTGCGGACGATGTCGAGATCGACACTAGGTGGGGGTCCGCTTTTGGAAAACAGTGCAAATTCAATCTGCTTAACAACAACGCGCGTCCGCACATTTCTTCAGCTCACACGCCTGAAGATCCTTGAACTTGGCTGGTCTGCGAATGCCCATCCCGCCATACTCGCCAGACCAGTCTCCTACAGATCTTCACCTTTTCCTATCGCTCGCCCGCCATCTAGGAAACAAACAGTTTGACAACGAGGAGGACCTCAAATCCGACATTCAAAAGTTTATTGATAAAAAATATTTTGATTTTTACAGAAGTGGTATCTACCAGTTGCTTGACCATTTTCGTATTATTGTTGATTATGGTGGCCAGTTATGAATCTCTGAATAAATTAAGAATAGAAAATTCGAAAATTGAGCCATGGTCGTTTCAAAACTTTCTTTTCGGCCTAAGGAAATGTATTAATTCTCAGGGTTCTTCTCGGCACATATAATTACGAAATGGTACGGAAAGCAAAGGGATTCCAAAAATAGGATGTTCCCAAAATTTGGATGCGGCATTATTGTGCAGAGGAATCCGTTAATGTTAAAAAAATGCTAGAAAAAGAAAATGGAAAATTCAAATCGGAATTTCAAAAAATTCAGGAGAACGTCATTACAAAACTCACATTTGACTGATATAGAAATTGAAATGATGAAAAAAATTGTCCTAAAGTACAATGGATTTTGAGAAACGTTTAAAGAGAGGATGAAATAATTCCATCTACCGACCATTCGTTGGTGAGCTAATTTGCTATCAACATAATACTGGGTAGTTCGGAGCTTTCATTAGATTTTTTTGTTTGAGTTTTTTTTATCGATTTTCGATTTTGACCTTCAAATTCAAGAACGCATTTTTCGGATCAAACAGAACATTTTCGATCGTATAAAAACTACGAGTCAATTGACCTTTGTTCGAGAGTAATGTTCAATGGATCTGGATGTTGTGAGTGCTGGACTTCTGTAGGCGAAAGACTCGGCGGAGGTCGTTTCGTCATGATGTTGGGTTTCAACTTTGATTTCTTGAAGACTATCCAGATGGCTGGAAAAGTGACAGTTGGTAGGCAAGAGGGCTACTGTGCAAGATGTTCGCAGCTCAGTTTTGTAGCTCAGTTAGGTCAACTTGTGCACGGTTGGAAGTGCGAGATGGGGCTGCACAACTGTGGGAGAGGAGTCGGCTGCACCCACTTGTCTACTTCTTGGACGTTTCACCCTCACCTGTATATTTTTGACTCCAACTAAGTTACGCCTAATTAAGCAAACGGCCTGTTCAACAACTCCATGCAGATTTGGTTTGACCAAACCCTTAGTTACTCTATGCGGGACTCCGACATAACATCCGATCTTCACCCTAACCTTCTCCGGAGCTTTCAACCGCGAGGAAGAAATTCTGAACCACTTCTGCACAACGTGCTTTTTGTGGAATCCGCAATGCTGAGTTTATATCACGCCCTGCTTCTGCACATTTTTGTCTTGAGTATGTTGCGCTTGAGGTTCGAAATAGTGGGCAATGTATGTAGGGGTTAAAATAGTAATAAATTTGGACAGAGCGAGAAATGCGCATTCTATTGATTTATAGAGTGGTGGCATTTTCTCAAAAGGTATTTAGAAATAAATCGTTTGAAAAAGAGTGGCTGAAACGGCGGGGACTTTCCGACCAGCCTAATATTATAGTATTCGTTTCATGACTGTGCGAGCTAAAACGGCTACATATCTCTCATGTCTCGCATGTTAAGAAAAGTTAGGGAGAAAAGGGGAGAAGAATGGCCGTTTTCTAGTACGTGTATTCAAAATTCAAGTAAATCAGAAATAGGTCATACAACTTATACAAATCGATCACATCTTTGTATTAAGTGTTCGATTCTAATGGCACTTCGTGATCGAGATCTTGCCTTCTGCCTGTTGACAATGCTTATCTTGCTTCATGCTGCTGCTGCCATCATCGTCACCTTGTCTGCCCGCCGACGTGCGAACAAGTGAGTAGCTTTTAGTTTCCAAACGCAAAGCACAGCACAGTTGTACCAGCCGTATACAACTTTTTATACAACATTCCAAATCCTATCATTCAGTAATTGTCATACATGTTTGTACGGAATTACTTGTATGTAACCGTATGCCAACTTGGAATGAGTAGCATGAAAAAACCGAGGAGGTGAGAAATTAAAAGTTGTGCGGGACCGCATTAGGCATATGGCGCGCAATCAGTAGGGAAAGTGAAGGGGAACACGACAGGAGGCCCGCTGCGCGACGAAGGCAGAGACGGCGACGGGGACGGGTCATTGGACGAGTCGCAGTGCGTGCTGAGGTGAGTGGGTTGTACTGCAGCACATTCTACTATTTAACTTAGCACTAAATCGCTACTGTACGCGCTGCCGCTCCTCCGCTGACCCTTTACGTTTTTCATAGCGCAGCAGACCTTCTGTAGGGCTACCCTTGGTTTAGCACACCACTTGCGCGTCATACACACAATACGGTTCCGCACAACTTTAATTTCTGCATCAAGACCGCTCGTGCTAGCCTAAGTCGACACCTATCTATTTAAGAACGCGATTGGGAGTCAAAACTAAAATTGTCATACCAAGAAGAAGGTGAGTACAAAATAACAACAGAGGAGAGAGGCATGCCCACATCATGTTCATCTTCATGCAGATACGCTTTCGGTGGAGGGGAGCTCTTCCAGCAAAATGACTGGACCGAGGTGATCAAAATATATCCTTTTTGAAGCATCCGCTAAATGCTGGAAAAGTGGTTTTTAAAAATTAATGCATACTTTGGGTTGCAGTCAAAATATGGTGAGCGCGTGGGGCTATTCCGTACTACACATAGTGCTGCTCATATTATCCAATAAATGACTGCTCTCACGAAAATCGTTTAAAATAACCGCTCCCTTACGTGATTTCTCTGTTCAGTATGTATCAGTGATCTAGCCGTAACAGAAAAGCTACTGCAAAATTGTGTACCATAACTTTTTCAGCATAAAGTTAGCATTATAGGATAACCGCAGCCTCATATGTAACGATATCGCTCAAGGACGTGATTACGTTGGAAACCATAATGTGGCACTGTTCTTTGTTCTTCTCTGGTTGTCTTGTTCTTTATCGACATGTAGTCACAGATTCTTGTGATGAGGTGGGCGAACTTTATTCAACCATAGAAAAAGACTATTTCTGAAAATATTTTCACAAACAGAGAGAGGGACATCAGTGATGGTTTCGTTTTCTTTGATAATTTCCACCCCACAGGTTACCAGATGAAATTTCAAATAACCTGATATTAAAGAGAAACGACCTGACATACTCAGAGGAACTGCGCGCTGCGCATGGTGTAGCACGACGATTCGCCTCTGTGTTGCCGCGTCCTGCACATGGTGTAGCACCGCTTTTCCAAGAATATCTTCGACATTTTTCACGCTCTGACCTTATAGAATATTGCTCTAGATCCGGAGAGCGACGGCGTGGGAGTGCGCCCTATGCGTCATATAAGAAAGCCGTGAATCATTAGTTTTGTTGCTGTGAAATACTTCGCTCGTAGCCTTTTAATTTTTTAGCGTTTTGTAGAAAAAATCACCTGTGCGCCGATTTCGAACACCTACAATAATATTGTATTAGATTGTCCCATAAGGGTTGGAGCAGCAAATCCACGTGTCTTCGCCAATGGCCACAAGGCAGCGAATCGTCGTCATTGGACGAAGAGAAGTAAACCTGCAGCTGTGCGCCCTGTGAAATCGTGCGGTATAAATTAGCCACCTTTGCAAGACTTGCCTAATTTCTAAAGAGATATGTACATATACTTGCGTCCAGGGTCAACCGCCCGTCGCGCAAAGAAGAACGAGGGGGAGGTATTTGCCAGTGGAAGAGGAAGGGGTCGTAACCTCAAGTACCATTCACAAAATTAGAAGCTGCCAAGGCGTGGCTAAGTGGCAAAGGAGGACAGACTTTCAACTGCCACTGCGACTACGCACCACAGACGATTGAATGGCGCATCCTAGAGCGAGATTTCTTACTAAATACGTCATGTCCCAGTGAGCACAAGCAAATTCGGCTGATTGATTGACCTTTGGAGTACTAGTAGAAACCCCTGGCAGGAGAAGGTTTTTTTCAAGACGATCTAAAATCTGCTACATAGTATTGCGTTGTCCGGAAAGTTTCCGCCGTTTTTGTAGCTCACTTTTGAATGCTTTATTTCTGGGTCACTTTCAAGAAACTGCTAACACTTTATATATCGTTAGAAAGCGCGTTCCTCGCTCTATCCAAATCTACTGTTTTTCAACACTGAATCACCTTTCCACTTTTTTTGAAGTCTTGAATACAACATACTCAACAGCCTGCTTTGCACTAGTTTCTTGTTTCCCCTCAAACTTGCTCGGAAATGTGCGGAAGCAAGTTGCGATATCAACTAAGCATTTGGTTCTGAGTCCACAAAAAATACGCTGTGCAGTCGTAATTCAAAATGTCTTTCTCGCGATGTTGAAAGCTTCGAAGGAGATTAGTGATATCGGAGACTGATAAAGATCAGCTGAGGGTTTTGACCAACCAAATCTGCATGAAACTGTTGAACAGGCTTTTGAATTGGGCGTAACCGACATAAGATTTTCAAACATAGCGGTGAGGGTAAAAAGCCCAAAGAAGTCGAAAATTGGGTGCCGCCGCCTCTTCTACCCACTGTTGCACAACCCCATCTCGGACTTCCAAGTTGAACTAGCTGAGCTACGAAATTGTGCTGCTAACATTTTACACACTAGACCTATTGCCTACCAACTATCACCTTTCCAACCATCTGGAAGGTCTACTGAGAAAGATTGAGCATTGAAACCCAACATGGTGGTGAAACGACCTTCGCCGAGTTCTTAGCTCACAGAACTCCAGCACTTCCAACATCCGGATCAGTTAAACTCATTTCTTGTAGGCAAAGGTATGGGGATTGTAATAGTTTTTATTTCGAGCAAAGGCGCTTTGTTTGAACCGAGATATGCGCTTTTGAATTTGAGAGTCAAAATCGGCGGAAACTTTCCGGACAACCCAATATTTATCTTTTTGGTTTCAGTGGTCTTACCGCATCTCATTACAACGATTTTGAAGAGACTTATAGCCGTTTAAAGATTGAAAACTCGCGTTTCAGGAGAATGGCCTAGAAAAACCATAGAGGGAAAAAACGGAACAACGGGACGATTTTTCGAAAGAGTGGTCATTTAGAAAATCTTGATATTTTTCAAAAGCGTCAATCTTCTAGTTTCTAATTAGCTTTGAAAATCTGCAAAAAGTTAATAATGAAGGAAGTTATGAACGTTTGAATGTCGAAAACTCGCGTGTGCACAAAAAACGGAACAACGGGACGATTTTTTGAAGAATTGAACATTTGCATAAGTTTAAAACTTTTTAAAAACAAACAATTTCAAGTTTTTAAGTTTTTGAATCCCATCTTATGAGAGGCTTTCAAAG